GATATTTCTCGTGTTGTAGCCACGCCCACCCTATCCTGAAACGGTCGACGATTTCCGGATTTCTGACTCTCGCCGAAAGTGCGCGACCAAATGCCAAAATGTGAGAGGAAGTCATACCCTGAGCCGTAATAACACTGGTCATTCAGTATACTTTTAAACGATATACATTTTTCGGTCGGCGTTTTTTTTTTTCCCTTTTTTTTTATCTATTTTTTTTTTTTTTTTTTGAGAGAGAGTTTTTAGATGTTGTGTTACGGGCAGTTGCAGTGAAACGTATAGTCATAGTGTAAGTATTCACACGTTTCTAATCGATCCGAAAGTGCGACATCAGTGGACGAAAGCCACTTAACCTCAGCTTCTTTTTTTTTGGAAAAACTGTCCTCGTCCATGGAAAAAACAACTAGGTTTAAACGCAGACAACTTAAACCTGGCGCAACACTTTTGAAAGAAAAAGATTCCGGACCATGATCAGCGAGGCGGATTTCAGAAGAAAGAGAGAGACGGCAAGTGTTTCAAGAGAGATTTAGTCCCTGTTAAGTAAAGAGTAACAATAATTTTGACAGTGACATGAAAACGAAGCGTCGGACAAACAGGAAATTACACAGCCCTTACACACTGCTAATTGTTTTCATTTTCGAAGGCTAAAAAGTTTCTGAATTGTTTGGTGATTGGTGTTGAATGTCGAATTCAGACCTCTGTTCTTTTTTTACCTCCATGCTTGCAGCTTGATCTGTGTAATAATTCATGAAATAAGAATCCGGGCTTGGTCAATGTGTTTCCACTAAGTAAAGTTTTGATATGATGTTATAATTATGACAATCACTCCATGGATCACGCTAACTCGAATCCACTCTGAATTTATCTGTATGTGTGTCGATCTCGTTTATTTTTGTTATCCAATTAAACGCCACTTAACGCACTTGCCCTCGTCGTGACCCGACGTGTTCACCTATTTCAACAAAATTTCACTTTATTTCCACGCGGCTGTCATTTATTTAGTAACTGATTTGTCATTTCTTAATTATTTTATAGTGATCACTATAGTCTAATGTTTAGAATGTCAAAATATGTTCTCTTTTATTTTAATTTTAAAAGTTTTACTCAGACGATCGATGAAATAAAACAGTGTAGTGACGTGCCTAGTAACCTATTTTGTACAAACGTGTGCCTGTGACGATCACGATGACCAGCTACACCAGAACGGACATATTTCGCATCTAACTCAACCCCATGCAACAAAAATTGATACCATATGTTCATTATGGTCCATTCCTCCTCGACGAACAAGTACATAAGTGAAAATTTAGTCAAAGAGGAGAAAACTGCACAAGAAATTTGCCTTATTTACACGTATCGGCAATGCAAGCTGCCATGCGACTTCCCCATCTGACGTCACAAGGGGAATTTCTGTATGCAAATAAGAAGCTAATGAGGAGCCTCGTTTTAAAATACACAAAAATAAAGTTGCCGTAGATTGAGTTTAAAACACATTTTTTCACTTAAAAAAATAATTCATGCTTAGAAACATAAAAATTAATAATATTTATGTATCAATGGATAATTTTAGACATGAAAATAGCCATTTCACAGGCACTTTAATGAAATTTAAACAGACACAGACACACTAAAAACATATTACTGAAAATGCATTAACTATTCACAAAGTTTTAATTTCGCTATTTTCACTGATAGGAGAAATCTAAATCCAGGTGAATAAATAAAGTAACAATAGAGATCATTGCTTTAATAGCTAATTCATGAACTTAAAACTGGTAAATATTCTCAGTATATCCATGGACCTACTATGGTAGGTCTATAGTATATCAAAGTAGTGAAATTAAATGGTTTTACATTGACATAACTTGAAAGTCATGATAGATGAATGAATGGTAAGACAGAAGTGTTTGTAAGTTACATAACTCACCTATCTTTAACCTGCATAAAATAGCACACCAAACAGTAAGCAGCACAACTTTGAACAAAGTTCCTCTGTGCAGTCAAAAACTCTTCTGTATTCTCACCACCAAATTCTTTGTGAAAATAGTGCAACAGAGACATTTGGCAGTGTTTCTTAACTTGGTGTAGTGATACTGTGTTTATAATGGGTTCAATCATACCACTGTCGTTTGATGTCACAACGATATGAAAAGGTCGTACCCACAGCGGGATGTGTTCCTGTGCCCATATTGACTGTAACCAGAAAAAAGCAGGAAACTGTTTATTTTCTTTATCAGTACATGCTGTCACATACATGTGTTATGTACAAGCATCTGTAAATGTCAGTTATTGTGAATTTGATATCTGATGCAAATAAGGATTTGTCTTGGTTGATCCAAAATCAGACATTGTTCATAACATACTGTAAAATACTTTATTTTCGCTTGGAATTAATTTTTGCTCTTTTCAGTGAAAATAGAATCAAGCGAATATATCCCCCCCCCCTATATTTTACATGCAACTTCATGTTGTTAGTCACTGGGTTTTCTTTTACTTGAAACGCAATAGACTTGTGTGTGTAGCTTTGTTTATTGACAAATTTCAGACACTTTCAAACTGGCTGCTTTTATGAGAAGGTAGAAAGCCAGACAAATCTGTGTTTTATTTACATCCATTTTGTAGGAGTTTGAGCTGGCCAACATGTGTTTTTTCTGGCCAGAATTCTATAACATACATGCGGTTTCACCGAATTAAAACAATATTTTGATCTTTGTAACCTGTTGTTGTTGCTATGGAGTTCAAATTAGTCAAGGAGAAACTAGAAATACACTCACTTGTAATTGCTTGAGAATTTGGAAAGCTAATAATTCTTGTCGTAGATCATCACCACATTTAATGATTACGGCCAATAAATGCCAGTTTGGAAGATGTCCATATGGTGACTGTTCCTGGATCCGCCGCTTCTTTTCCTCAAATGGCTCTTTTAATGCTGCAGCCGAGGGATCATCAGGGTCCCTCTGAATTCAAAACAAATGACTTAAAGCAGGAGGGTCATCACCTGTGCACACTCGGGAATTGAGTCCCAAGCAATGTTAACACCACATGCTAAAAATGCAAAGGCTCATGGGTAGACACTTGTTTGTAAACAATGACATGCTATGGCTATCTGACGCATGCGCAGGTGACGACTCCCCTGCTTTAAAAACTCTCAAATTAGAACTTTGTCACACATTCATTCCTGGGTACTGCTTATTTGGAATAATATTTTGACATTTTATCTGTCAATTCTACAGTTTCTTAATATGTAAATTATCTCATGAGAAAAGGTTCTAAGAAAAGACATTCGCATTGAAACAAAAACAGAATATAACAAACTTTAAAGATTCAATTGGGCCATAGTTCTTCATGACAACACAAAGTACAGAATCAATTGTCTTCCTAGTATTTATAAAATCATGTTATATCAAAACAAAGTAACTTTTATATTGTATTACCCATAGAAATTTCAAGTCACAAAGAACAAGTATTCAATACAATGAGAATAAACTCGGAAGTAAAACCCACACTCTAATAATACCATACAATTTTTACCATGACAAACATTTCAACACAGAATGGCACTGGATGAAACTTAGTCTTTCAATTAGATAGCTGAAAAAAAAAAACATTTCCAATATGTTTTTCCAATCTCTTAGGAACTAAAGAAAAACCCCATGACGTGACGTGACAGCTGCCCTAAGTTACCTTGAATGATTTACTTGGCTCTGTTAGATGTTCAGACAATCGTCTTCTGATATCACCAGCGGCGATATACACAGGTTCTTTATCACTAGTAGAGCTATCATGTGAAATCATGGAAACGCTATCACTAGATATGGACTTCTGATAGGAAGGATATTGCTGAAGAATAGAACAACAGATAACAGCTTGATTGAGAGGTTATCATGAGAATACCGCAAAGGATGCACGGTAGCAGTACTGTGATAATATCAACCGTGGTGATTCCAAACTGTCATTTACATTCTGAGATGAAATCATGTGATAAAGTGCAGCTGCAATCATGTAAACAAAGTAAAAAAATTGAATGTAACAACAAATTCAGTTGACATACACTGTACAGTTATCTACAACATACCTGTAATATCATGTCATCATCCTGAGACCAACAGTCTTCTTCCGGATCAAACTTAGGATGGACAGTAAAACTACCAGGTGGTGTATCACTTAGATGACAGTCAGACAGATTTTCTTCTGATCGGGTAAATCGTAGGGTATTCTCTAATAATTTTGTTGGCAGCGGTGATGTATTCTTGTTCTCGCATTCTAATACTTCAACATACATTAAGTACGGCGCCTGCGTAGACAGATAAAAATTGCATACATAACAATAAATAGATAAAAATAAATTTGAAAAATGTTACATTAAGCTGTCATGATTTGAAAATTTGATGTTGATTGTCGGGAGACATTTCACTGTAGTCACTCTGATACTGACACTGGAAAAATAAAATAAAAAAAGTCAGTTTTTCAATAATGCAAATCATGTTCGCTGTAACATGTACAACAACAATTTTGCTTACTATTGTCATTTCATGTGTAGCTTGGTAAAAAAAAAAGTTATTAGACACTTTGCGTGTTTCAGGTGTGCAGCTTAAAAGCTGATTAAAAAGTCATTCCCTTAACACATACAAATCTCTTCAGTGACATTTCACTAATTAGTAAATGATTCAAGTCATGAAGCATCACAGTCATCACTACACATTGTGTTCAATATAGCCGCATGTGATGAATACAATATTCACTATTCAAAATACATTTCCATTGACATCAATAATTGCATATTTTATATGCTGAATTTTGACCATCGACTTCTAGTCATTTACATTAGTGCATGCACCTTTAATATAATACTTTATTACCTCCGTGTAAAAAGATTTATATAAGATATGTACAGCAAAAAAGATTTAAAATAATAACAAAAATATATGTAAAAATATTATAAAAAACAAAAACAAAAGAGTGTAACTAGTTTAAATGTTAAATAAATCTTTGTGTTGTGTAAATATAATTGGCAAGTTCTTTAATTATGTTAGAATCTTTGCTTGAGAGTATAATGTGAATTGTACATGTTTATTTTTGGATGAAAGTAGTATCATAAATTTAAGGATGAAGTTTTCCCTGTGTGTGTTATATTTTGGGCATTTCAAAAGAAAATGATCTTCAATTGAATTTGTGTCAGTTATAATTTTCCTATAAATTTCTTAGGCAATGAATAAAAAAAAAAATTTTATACTAATTGTAAACACAGACACACAGAAAGGCAGATATGTCCATGATGTAACCTGACAAAAATATCAGGAGACACAGAATTAACTATCTAATGCAAGCTCACCTTATCTTTTGAGTTGAGAACCACAGCAGCATTTGGTGTTAAACGCACTATGTGATGGTTTGCTGGGATACAATCAAATGGTAACCATATACGGGCAGGTAGATTCAAATTTAACATAGCTAACTCAGCAAACAGTCTGTTGGCTGTATAGTAAAAGAACACAACAACTTTAATTTCAATGTGAAACACTGCAAATGATGCAGATCATACTGTAGTAAGCTGATCTATGAGGTTTTTTGATTGATTGACTAGCAAGTCACCATAGTAAGCTGCACTCTGATTGGTAATTTGATATTTAAGCTGCTCTTTGATTGGGTGACTTACTTCTTGCTTCTCTGGTTGGTAATCCTTGAAGTCTCATGCCAATTGCCATTAGAGACTTGATAAATTCCGACTCAGATTGTAGTCTGGGAGCCTACACGTACAATTAAAAAACAACCTTATATTATTATCCAGGTACAGGTATTTAGTCCACCATATTCTCCTGACATGCAAAATGTTGCTAATACACAGCAAAATAAAAGGTTAATGCAATAACTGGTGAAAGATAATTAAAACTACATGAGAATGTTTTTGTATCCAACTTGAGTGGGACAAATAGGTGATGCAAAAATCAAACGATTTGATTTTGAACTCGAATTTCTTTATTTCATAGCTCACATCGAAAGGCCAATCTTTGACAGGGGAATATTGCATTTGAATACCTTTACTTTATCGAAATTGACCATCATCAAATGTGTACAGCATATTAATAAGTGTGGAATTATCCCCCCAAAATACTTTCGTATTTGTTGAATCCCATGTGAAGCTAGACACCACTATGACCTTTGTTTGTTCTGTTTCTACGTTCAATTTCACGCATCACGCGGGATCTCACAGTGAACAGAAAATGGTCTATTGCGTGTCATCTGTATAATGACATGTTTCCAAGCTACTGACTATGCACGAGCATAGCCCAGTACATTCCTAGCAAAGTTACATTCCTCCAGTATTGTAGTTCATTTCCTTCTTCATTCATTTAATACAACATGCTCATTTTGTTTAAACAAATATATACATGTACCCTGTTGAGTTGGAAACAATTTGGGAAGTAAAAAAAAATAACAATGATCAATGAGGGTTTGACTTACATTACAAATGCACTCTTGCTGAGGTCTTCCAGCTAAATCTTTCAACACACTGGCTGAGCTGTCAAAACATTCACAGCCCGAATGGAATGCTCTGCCTGATGTCAAGTCACCGATGGCTAACTTAGATGTACTGGCAGCTCGTTTTAACGTCACAGCAGCAGTAATACTGTTATTAGTTGTGATGGCTGCAAAAAAAAGTTATATTTCAAACAAATACATAACTGTACACCAGCATTTATTGGTCAATTGTGTGTAAGGGAAGATTAGGAAATCAAACTCGCGGTTTACCGCGGTCATTACCGCGGTGGTGGTGGGTGCTCGCCGGTCGACCGCATTTTATGCAAATTTATGCATAGATTCCATGACCCCGGTTTACCGCGGTCGTGTGCGGTAGGCTCGCATGGCAATTTACACCCTATTGTTAAGACTATGAATGGACACAATAGACTGGGAAACTAAAGGTTACTTGCCGCCAAGTTCAAATAATAAAAATCGAGTGGTACCAGAAGATTGGAAAAATCGTCTCTATTAGTTCGCAGAAGAACACTATTTTATTTTCACGAGTCTTAGTATAACATCGCAAAGCAACCCAGAATAATGTAGACCCCACATAATGTAAAATATTATCACATTATTTTGAATTTACATCATGTATAGTCTCAGGATTTATTTTAAAAGATTAATGTTTCGCGTATACCAATATAATCGGGCGAAGTATAAATTCCAAGTGTAAAACACTCGATGAGAGGCCGCAGTTTACGTTACCTCGAGACCATGCACTAAGTAGGAAAAGCAAGCCGAAGTCGAAGAGGGAGTGTCACACACTTGGTGCTACAATATATACTACAACAACTGGGTGATCAGCGAAAAAAATAGCGCACTTCTTGGCGAAACTGACTAATCTATTAAACCTTGGCCCAAGTTTAACCCCAAGTCACGCGCTGAACAAGTGGGTTGTTACCTTGGTGACCATACGCGCTCCGCGCGTTGACCTTTTTATCATGCACATCCCATTACGCAAATTTTTACTGGCTCTGCGTTGCCTACGTAAAATTTTTTACCGTTCTGGTTGTGAATATTTCAACATTGCCGACGTGATAATGCGTTGCCTTCGTAATAATTACGCAAACTTGTTTTTCATTGTTTACGTACGGCTGTGAATATTTCAACTTTGCCGACTTGATAATGCGTTGGCTTCATAATAATTGCGCAAACTTGTTTTCCATTGTTTACGTACTGGTTGTGAATATTTCAACTTTGCCGACTTGATAATGTGTTGCCTTTGCAATAATTACGCAAACTTATTTTTTATACCCCTGTCGACACCTCGAGTCAGGCTGCTATCACCCTTTCTATTTCAGTAATTGACGGTCTGTAGGTGTTAAGTTCTCACCTCCAACTGATTGAGCGGGCAATTAAATACGCGATAATACCAGACTTAGTTTTTCTACTTTAAAACTGACGGCAAAACACAATACAATCGTACGGAGCCATCGAAACCTCGACTTACTGCCTCAGAGACGGGGCCACTGAATAACTGTTGTTGATAATGATATTGTAAACAAACACGCACACACAAAACATTAAAGCCAGAAAAGTCAAGTCAAGAAACAACATTTCAAATAATAATAATTATGGTTTGACATCTATATCATTTTTAAATAAACTAAATTTCATGTAAATAAAATCCATGCGTTACAATTTACTGTAATTTCAAACTCGGGGCAGCGTACTTTGAACGCAGAGTATTCGATCGCTTACATTTCGAGTGAAAAAAAACAAAACAACGTCAGGTGGTTTTGAACTACGTGCGGTTGGCACAGTAACGGGCAATGACCTCAGCGGTTCACACGCAATGAAATTCTAATCGAGCCAGCTAGCGTTATCGTATGGTATCATAAACTCAATAATTATTCATTCAAAATGCCTTTCACACTCACGAGTATCATGGAACACGAACATGTAACAGAAAAATAACGTCTTTTGTTTAAAAAAGATTCTGTCAACCAAGAATACATGCGCAAGGCAAGATTTATGAAACAAAACCAGGGTTCGTACACCCCAGAGATGATAAAATTCCATGCTATTCCAGGCCCAATATTGATGAAAATCCAGGCTATTCCAGGCCAATTTTGTAGGGAAATATAGTCGATATAAAGCATTTCAGTGGAATACTCGTTTAAGTTTAACCCAAAGTCAATACCGACATTCTT